CTATTGATAGCTATAGAACACCAAGAACAGAGAATGGAGGAGAACCGTTTACAACAGAGGGCATACTTGCTTCTCGAAAATATCACGTCAAGAGAGGTAGCTGGAGAGGTGTCTGATGCAGTAAAAACTAACAACAATTTTACAAGCATCGCAACCATCAATGCTGAGTTAATTGTGGTCAGGAAAGAAAACAACAAAACGAAATAATTCCCTTTATGAGGTATGGACACTTAAGTGGCAGTTTCTGAGCATTTTTACTGTTTCATTGTTTACAGTCACCAAATAGGCCACTTGCAATAGGAGGTCACGTGACCAATGCTTCCTTTAAACAATGAGTTGGAATCTTGCTGATGCCAAAAATTGACAGAGCACATAAAAATTATCCTACAGCCGAAATTTGAGAGGAAACGCATTTAAAGGAGATATTTTATGGCACGTTGATTTTTCAACAAAGTAGTATGATTTGTATTGGCCGCCATGTTGGAGGGCATACTTGTGCCCTTCAACATGGCGGCCAAAACGACTTTTTGCTTATATCTTGTTCAACGTTTGATAGTTACGCTCAGATGTGCTGTTAACGTTACCACATCATCTTTTCAACATTTTCCTTGAAGTTTAAGTGCAAAATTTCTGTTCAGAAAGAGGTAATTCATAATTTTCAAAATCACATTTTGGTCACGTGACCAGTTACGAACTTACTCATTTAAAGAAAATGGTGCGGGTCTGAAAAACCAAATCACTATCATTTTGCTTAAGATATGACCCACTAATCGTTTTTCGAAGGCAAAATCATGTAACTTTCGTTTTCATAAAAACGATTTCACATGACCTCTTAGTGCAAATGGCCTATTGTATTTTGATCAGGGGATCAGCAGATTACACCCATCCGCGGAGACCCAGTTGAGTCAGGAAAAACGGCGGCGAAAGTTTTCAACAACAGCTGAGAGAGCCCCTGGTATGCTACTCTTAAAGAATCGTTCCACGACTTATTCGAATGCTTGTGTTTGTGATTGAAAAAAAAGACTAACCTTGTCGCCAATAAGAGGCCAGTATCTATCGCGCTGCTTCCGTGATCTTCTTAAACAAAGAAGTTTACCCGCAACCTCAACTGTTCGCCGTACATGTTTGGCTCGTGCAGGAGCGCTTTTTAAGAGAAGAGTTTTCAGCGAAAATGGGGTCCACAAAATCAATGAGAAATCTTATAGCAGAGCTCTCTCGCGCGCAAAGCGCGTCAGAGGAGCACCAAGGGTAAGTAAATCTACCCATCCCAGAACATTTGGTAATCATGTGACTGTACACCGACCGACCGCCGTCCGTCCGCACCACAGGCATACCAATGTTTACTCTCATGCCTTCTTGCTACTTTGGGATCCCAGGGAGCCCAGGAGAAAACTGATTGCACATCAATGTTGTGATCAATTGACAACTGTCAAAACAAGGCATCCATTGACCAGTTTGGCTGTAGAAAGAAAGCTTTGAACGATTTTCTCGCCTCGAGTTCAACTTTGAAAACAGCAAACACCTGGAAGCCGGTTGAAAACATAAACATAAGCTTTCACCGAATTATATTTCTCTTATTGATTGTTTAGTAGTCTCTTGCATTTTCAATCGCTTTGCCGTTTGTTTTCAGTCGTTCATAAACATCGCTTGCAGGAGTACTCAAATGCCGCGCGTATCAAACGCTTTTTAAGATTACACATCGTTATAAAACGATTAAATAAAAATTAAACACAATAAATTGTTTGTTATGTTGAAGCGTCACTCTTTTACTGTTCACTGCAAATTTGGCGCTTGTCAAAAGTGAGAATCGGCTGGTCGTATAGGTGATTTTGGGAATTTTTTGAACGGTTTCGCTAAAAGCCCACGCGTGCTTCGATGGTTCTGAATATTGAATGAGTGCAATTTGTCTAAAAATTTGTGAAATACTGCATTTTGTCTGAGGTCTGTATGATAAAAACAGCGCCTCATAGTACTGTTTTACCTCAGGTGTGATGTATAAAACGTATAAAAGTTTAGTTTGCACGCGCCCAGATTTGTTGGCAAGATTCTGTAATGTAATTGTCGAACGCAAAAAAGTCGGCCTGATTTGTTTTCCAAGAATTTGTTTTCTAGGCCTAATCTACTGTTGTAAATAACTTCGAATCGTATACTATAACTGAAATTACTTTAACATTCTTTGTGCCTCTTTACAGTACAACCTAACCCTGATGTCGATGTTGAAGAATGTTCCTTGAGTCGAAAAACTTGGAAAATCGTTACAAAGAAAGTGGGTCATTTTTTTTTCGCTTAAACTGACATTTTAAGCGAGAAAAGTCCATATTTTTGAAAGCATCTTTTTGCAAAACAAGAACTGATTACGCGTGCAAGACTTCGTGGACAAGACTTTGCGACTGGTAAGAATTTCTCTTTAAATCAGTGCCATACAAAGAGTTTTGCGTTTTCTCGACAGTTATGCAAACCCTCGACTTCGTCTCGGGTTTGCATAACTGTCTCGAATTCTTCCAACCCCTCTCGTGTTTATATCAGGCTATGCAAACACGGAAAACGTTTTCTGTTGCTTAAATGTTAATCGATAAATTTTTCGAATAAACTCACAAATTTATTATGCAAGCAGCAATTTCAGTAGTTGATATGAATAGAGTGGAGACATACAAGCATAAAAAATGTATGGGGTTACGGAAATTTTATCCTGTAATTTAGCATGTCAGCAAAAAAAGGAAACGAAAAATGCACCAATTAAAGAAATTAGACTGTGAGCTGATCGAAGCTAATAAATTGGTAAACACCAGAGCACAAGAGAAATTTTTTCGGACTTAAAAGTTTGTAAAATTTGTTAAATTTTTCTCCTCAAGGATACAAGGGGATCGGATGGAACTGGTAGAGTAAACTTTAGGGGCTCATTTTCACTGAGATAATGAAAACTCTTCTCGAAGGAAGCTCTCCAATCCTGAAGGAACCAGACAGGTACGGCGAACAGTCGAGTTTGCAGGTAAACTCCATCTTGTAGAAAGATCGCTAAAACAGTGCAATAGACGCTGGCCACTGAATGGGCACAAAAATATTTTTGTCGCTACCGGGGCAGGAGTATCACTCAAATACAAAACTTAACACGACTACGAATCTATGTCATCGACGGCATCCTACATGTTTTCTACAGACCCCGACAGAGAAGAATTGAAGGTGCCTATCTTATCTCTTTCAAAGAGCAGCATTCATTGTATGCTTCACCAGACGTTGGTCGTCTTTAAAATCTCTAAAAAGACTGATTATTTTCGCATAAGAAATTAAAGTTGTTGTCGAAAGCATAGCTGTGAGAAGGGATCAACAAACACGTGACAGTGCGCTAGACCGTAGCTTTTCCAAAATTCCTGGATGCTCCCCAAGTCCTGTTTTTACAGTAACATCGTAACACCGCTGAGCACATTAAAACAATAGACCTATTCGGCTAACTCAATGTTGTACCCAATTCAAACCCTTTAGGAATAAAACTTTTTGTTTCAGGAATTTCCATACATTTAAATGAGAATGCCACATTATAATGCGAATACAATAGACAAAGAACCTGAACCCTGGGAGATTTGAATTGGGTGCAACATTGAGTTAGCCGAATAGGTCTATTCACAGAATAGGCCATTTGCATGATGGCGTCATTTTACTACAAGGATCCTTCAGGGTTTTTGCTTTCTTGTGCAAATTAGGGCTTTTGTTATTTAATCCTCACTGGGGCTACCTATTTTACATATATATGAAAGGAAAAACGAAAAGAATTCTGGTCGTAGTAGTAAAATGACGCCATCGTGCAAATGACCTATTGAACTCTTCTTTATTTTGTTTTTCTGCACTTTGTTTTCCCTTGCTTTAAATTTTAGCTTTAAATATTTCCCAATTTTATGAAATTATGTCATGAAATTACCGGTCTTCATTGAGACGGTGAACTAGTTCTTCAGCAAAACTATATTTTTGAAAGAAAATAGTTGCAAATTAATGAATGATTTACACACCCCAGAGCGCGAGTAGATAACAGAACTTATGTCATTCTCCTGCAATCTCTAAGCGAAATTGAACGTTTTTCTCTTTTGATTATGTTATAACACCAGAAAAACTGATAAATTTACATCTACCTGGAGTTTTGAAAACGGGTTGCCTGATATCTTAACTCAAGTCCAGCACATTGCAGGCAATCTTTCAAAGCATAAATTGCTTAAAGCTGGAATGCTTTTAATAAAAATCTCCCTCTTCAGGACTAACCACCCTCAGCTCTTAACCATGGGCTTCAAATAACTTCCTGGAATTGACAGAAATTCCAGAAAAAATGCACGAGGGGGGCAACAGGCCGGCCTGTTGCCCCCGTTGAGCCAGCTAATTTTTTTAAGGGGCGGGGGAGGGCGTAAGTCAAGCTAAGTGTCATGTTGCTGCACAGACACAGGGCCATCATGTGGTATGCATTTGGGTGGGGGGGCCTGGCTAAATTCCCGGGTAGTGGGGTTGTTGTAAAGAGCAATTGCTTTGCGTTGGACTGTGGATTTGAGGAATTTTTGTACCGGGGCTTATCCCTTTTTTTCAAAGCTCAAAAATACGTTAAAAATACATGTCTATCTTTGCATGTAGAGTAGACATTAATGTTTACTATTCCAATATAAAGATAAACTGAGAGTGAATTCGGATACTTGTGGACGCGCAAACTTGATTTAAATACGCTACGTTTGATGAGGAAAATATTGAATCCGCTGAGAAAAATTTGCGGATTCAGAAATATCCGGATACGTGTGGACCGGGCCTTACATTAAATCAGTATCTAACAAAAAGTACCAGATAGTTACAAGTAAACAAAAGAGAAGAAAAAAATTGAGTGTAATCAGTGTAACGTCACCTCGTAGTAGTCTACTATGTACTCTATTTATTCGATTAACCGCCCTGGGCGCTTATTAAATTTTTGCACCTTGAGAGTGGGCGTTTATTCGAGGTGGGCACTTATTCGAGGTTGGGCGCTTATTAAATTT